AAAAAAAAAAAGATCCTGCTCCCCAGGGAGAACTGCATGACCCTATACCAGGTCACATCCCTCACTCAGTGTCCTGAGCAACTGGCTCCTCCCATCAGTGCTGACTGGAGCACACAATGTTTAGTGGTTGGTGGGCCTGCCGCTGTCTGCTTCCAGACCTTGTCCATCTTGCTGGTCCCATGTTCTCCATGCCTGGCGTAATCCTGGCTCAGAGAAGACCCTGCATGAATATTTGTTGGATGGACGAATGGGTGGGTAGATGGGTGTTTGGGAGGATGGATAGGTAGATGGATGATTGGGGTTCTTGCTGAATGATCTTACCACTGCCCGACCTGCAGGATGTGCAGCATTCTGACCCTGTCTCCTCAGGGCCCAGTGTGTTTCAGGTCATCCTACCAACTGCACTGCTGTGTCTCTGTCCCCACTCGCCTGGCACAGCCCCTGCCAGGGCACTTAGCATGCTCAGCACTGTTCAGTAGCTTTGTTTCAGTACAAGCTGTGAGATGTCAGTGGCTATTTACCTTCCCTGCCGTCCACAAGGTGGCTGTGCTGGACCTGCAGGCCTTTTCTCTCTGCCTTCCCTGCTGCACCTCCTGCCCAGGATCCCTACCCCCTCCTGAGTTGACAGCCACTCACTTAGCAAATAGGTATGGAGGCCTAGCATGGTCTGGACACTATGCCTTCAGGGAGCATGCACTCCAGTGGGGGCCTCAGATAAAAAATGGTAAGTAAAATATTTGCTGTCTTAGTTGATGATAAAGGCTGAGGATACAAAATAATGCAGCAAAAGGGGATAAGAAGTATTGAACTAGTTGCAACTCTGGGCAGTGTGGCTGGGCAAGGCCTCCTGAAAAGTGTCACAGAGTAAAGGTATAGAAAAGCCTGGTGTGTGTGGCTGGGATGGAGTGAGGAGGGAAGTGGGGACAAGGTACCAGATGAACAGGGAGGCAGGATGCATGCCACGGTCCCTCCAGTTGCTATGGCCGAGGCAGGAGGTGGGGGCTGGAGTGGAGATGGTGTGGGTGTAAGGTGGAGGTGCTGAGGAGGGCTCTGCCTCCAGGCATGTGTGAGTGTGGACAGCAGTTGGACAGCCAGGCTGGGGGACAGGGTGGGGTTTCCAATGCCTGTTGGCCACTCAAGGGAGAAGGCATGGAGTTAGGAGGGTACGGGGGTCTAGACTTGAGAGTGTCCAACCTGGCTCTGTCCTGACCTTCTGTGGGCATTGCTCCGGACAGTATCTTGTGCCTGGACCCAGAGGTACAGCTCATCCCCCTGCAGTGTCATTTCATAGGCAGCTCGCTTTGCTGGGGTCCAGGACATACTCTGTCCCTCCAGTGTCTTGAGAGCTAACTGCCTTTCCTTCTTGCTCGTCCCACAGCAGCCAGCCCACCTAGGCTGGTGGCCCTTGGTGCTGCTGGCCACATCTCACTCTGCCCCACCAGGCTAAAACCCAGACCCCAGAATTAATAATAGCCTGACCCCCTTCCCCTCCCCCCACTCAGCCCCAGTGGGTTCTGCTCCAGCCTGGTATAGGCCACCACCCTCCACTTCACCTTTATCCACCCAGCCCTGGCCCCAGCATTGCAGACCATCGAGTTCTTCTTCCTGCCATGCCACCAGGTCCCTCAGAGTACCTACAAGATGCCCAAGGAGCAGCTGCAGCTGGAGATGATCAAGAGATACAATCGCCGGAAGGCTGAGGTGGGCCATGTGTGACCCCTGCCTTCCCAGAGACTCCTGGAGCCTGTAAAGAGAAGGCGGGGAGGGGAGAGGTGTTGGTGGGTATGTTTGTCCTGCTGAGGATGCTGGTCAGCGGTGGCAGGGCTGGAGCACTGTGTGTCTTACAGGAGCTGTTGCTGAAGGCGAACATGGAAGAGCTGCGCTGTGCCATGCCCAGGTCACGCGCGCAGCCACCAACGCAGGTACTACCAGCTCTCCAGGTCCCAAGACCAGTCATCAGGGCAGCCTTCTCCCACATCATCAGAAAGCCCCCCACCCCGCACCACTTTAGTGACCACTTAGCCTTCCCCCAAGGAGGGCTGTGGAGGGCAGATTCCCAGTGATCCTAGGGAGTGATGCTCAAGCCACACTGATGACATCCGGCTGCTGTGCAGCTCCTCAGTGGGCAAGTGTAGACGCCCACCTACAGCCGCTGCCTCTGGGTGCTCCCAGATGTTCCACACTGAGCACTTCCAGAAGAAAACAAGCCGAGAGGTGTGTGCCAACAAAGTAAGGGACAGAGGATGAGGAGCATCTGTGCTTGGGATGTTCCCTTGGGAGCATGGGCCCTCTGGTACCCAGCAGCTGGCCAGGGCAGTGGGCAGCCATGAGGTGAGGCAGCAGGCCATGGAGCTCGTGATGGCTGAGTGCTCCCAGGAGGCCTTTTGCTAGCTCCTTCCCCACACTGTGGCTGGTGGTGCTCACCCTGGGTATGTCAGCAAAGCAGCAGGAGGCTGGCCATGTGCAGACAGACTCTGGGAGCAGCCCATGAGCCCTTAGACCCCAGCTCTGGAGGGTAGCTGAGGCTGCTGAGCCCCAAAGCCAAGTTGTCTTGACTGGAACCACTGCCCCCAGACCCAGCAGGCCTTGCACCTTCCCTGCTCCTGCTGGAGGCCCCAAGGCCTGGGGAGGGCAGTGGGAGACAAATGCTGCCCAGAGTGCTAAGCAGGCACTCACCGAGGTGTGGGGGCACCTGGAAGGCACAACTGCCAGGTGACAGCTCCACCCTGACTCCCGCAGGACTCTAAGGAGAAAATGCAGCTTCAACACCCACCCCGAATTCGAAAGACCTCCAAGCTGACTTTCTTCAGAGTAAGGGCTACTCCTGGCAGGTCAGGCCCCTCTCCTTGGGTACCCCCCACTCCTGACCTGTCCTGCCCCTAGACACTCAGATGACCAGAGCTGGGGAGTCAGAGCCCCAAGCATAGTCTCACCCTTGAGACACAGGGAAGCACCTGGTCAGGGCCAAGTAGGAACAGTTGGAGGACAGGAGGGGCACCTGTCCCCAGCTTCCCCTCATCTTCACAGTCAGCCCTTCCCCCTCCCATAGCCTGACAACATCCCACCAGTCAAGCTGAACACCGCAGCGATTTTGCGAGAAGGGGCTTTGTACCAGCGGCAAGTAGAGAAGGAGCTGCAGAGGTGAGTGTGGTGGTACCTCTCTTCACCTTCCAGAGTAGTGCCCTTAGGAACAAAGGCACAGGAGAGGCCTGGGGCTGGGCGTCTCTGCAGAGAGGGGGCTCGGGGTCATGACCAGGCTGACCAGGCTGTGGATCAAAAGAGGGTGGGAGCAGCAGGCAGGACTGTGTCAGTGTCACCATTGCATTTTACAAAGATAATCCTGGCTCAGTGATTTAGCAAATGGCTGGCCCACCCCAAACTCCTTGAAATCCCCTCTTCCTCCAGACCCATTCAGAATGCTTCCAGGCCCAGACCACCAGGGCTGGCCTGCAAGCCCCTGGGTGTCCCCCATGCCATGTGGTATATCTGTTCATGTCTGCAAGTTAGGCTGGGCAGGACCTTGATGGCTGACCTAATGGATGAGTGAACAGACAACAGACAGAGCAAGGGTAGTAAAGAAGATGGTGAAAGGAGGGGTGGGATGATGTGGCTGACAGGTGGCCACACAGGAGGGGACAGGTGGATGGAAGGCAGTGGACAGGGGACAGAGAACGCTGCATGTTGGGTGAACAGCAGCCCCTGGCTATGAGGGCCACTACCCCCTGTGGAGCCTGTGGCCTTGGTCCCTCTGTCACCAGGGTTGACAAGCTTGTGGATGGGGCTGGGGACTTCTCTGAGTTCCTCGAGTGGCAGAGGAAGATGCAGGCAAAGGACCGGGAGGAGCGGCTGGCTGAGGGCGAGTGCCGGCGGCTGCAGGGCAAGCTCAGCCATGAGGAGGCCATCCTGGCGCGCCAGAACCTTGCACAGCAGAAAAAGCAGAAGGCCGATCAAAAGAAGGAGGAGGTGACACTCGAGGAGCAGGCCAGACAGTGCACGGCCAGCCAAGCTGCGTGGCCTCTGGGAGCGGCCAGAGAAGCCAAGATGTGCATTGCAGCTGGCCATGGCCTGGCGGCTCCTGGGGTCCCTAGCTGTTTGGCTGACCCTGGGTCCTTTCCCCTGGGTCTTACGGGGCTGCCGTGATTTCTCTATCCCTACTACAGTAGACAGGGTGTGAAGGAGCTTCCAGTCAGCTGGGCTGAGTGGGCTGTCTGATCAGCAGTTCTGCTCCAGATGGCCACCTGTCCCCACCAGAGGTGTCAGTTGGTCCACAGAGCCCTGGGTGTCCCTAGGGGAAGCCCTGAGATTCTGGTAGAAATTTCCAGAAGGTGGACAAGTTTACATATGACATGTTTGTATGTGGTATCCTCTCCACAGGAGAGTTTGAGGGTGTCCACGCTATCATTTAAGAAGCTCCTGGCTTTTCCTCCTCCTAGGACAGCCTACCTAGGTGGGGGGTCCCAACCTCTGTTTCCCTAGAAAGCCTATTCCTCCCCATGGGCCTCTCGGTGGCCTGGACAGGGGGCAGCCTGAGGACTTGTGGTCAGGACCTGCTCCAGACTTATTTGTGTCTGTGTTCAGTCTGATGGTTTGCCTTTTCTTACCTTTTTAGTTCACTTTTTTTTTTTTTTGAGACAGAGTCATACTCTGTTGCCTTGGATAGAGTGCTGTGGTATCATAGCTCACAGCAACCTCAGACTCCTGGGCTCAAGGGATCCTCTTGCTCCAGCCTCCCAGAGTGGTGGGATTACAGGAGTGAGCCACCACCCCCAGCCTTTAGTTCACTTTTTAAAAAAATATAGGAAATCCAGGCTCAGCACCTGTGGCTCAAGTGGCTAAGGTGTCAGCCACATACACCTGAGCTGTCAGATTCGAATCCAGCCCAGGCCCGCCAAACAACAATGACTGCTGCAACCAAAAAATAGCCAGGTGTTGTGGCAGGCACCTGTAATCCCAGCTCCTTAGGAGGCGGAGGCAGGAGAATTGTTTGAGCCCAGTAGTCGGAGGTTGCTGTGAGCTGTGATGCCACAGCACTTTACTCAAGAGTGACAGCTTGAGGCTCTGTCTCAAAAAAAAAAACAAAAAAAAACAAAACAGAAATCCAAACAATATGAAAAAGTAGACTCAGGGAAGTCTCACTTCTTATAAGTATAACTTATAATTTCCAGCTACCTTCATAGGTCCTTTTTTTTTTTTTTTTCTGAAACAAGCCAGAGTACTGTGGCCTCAGCCTAGCTCACAGCAACCTCAAACTCCTAAGCTCAAGGGAGCCTTCTGCCAGCTTCTTGAGTAGCTGGGACTAAGGCACCTGCCACCACAGCTGGCTAACTGTTCTATTTTTAGTAGAGATGGAGTCTTCACTCTTACTGAGACTGGTCTCGAACTCCTGGCGTCAAGTGATCCTTCCCCCTTGGCCTCCCAGAATGCTAGAATTACTGGCATGAGTCCACCGCACCTGTCCCTTATTTTCATTTATTTCTTGATTTTCTTTCTTTCTTTCTTTTTTTTTTTTTTGAGACAGAGTCTCACTTGGTCACTCTTGGTAGAGTGCTGTGGTATCTTAGTTCACAGCAACCTCAAACTCTTGGGTTCAGCGATTCTCTTGTCTTAGCCTCCCAAGCAGATGGGACTACAGGTGCGCACCACAATGCCCGGCTATATTTTTAGAGACGGGGGTCTTGCTCTGGCTCAGACTGGTCTCAAACCTGTGAACTCAGGCAATCCACCGCCTTGGCCTCCCAAGTTCTGGGATTACAGGTGTGAGCCACCATACCTTTTCTTTCCTTTCTAAGCAAATAATATACTTGTAAACTCACACATTTCACTTCCCTTTTCCTTACAAAGGGTTACACCATGTTTTCTCTATAAAGAATGATGTCACAGAAGTCTTTCATCTTTGTGGAAGTGAATTTTCAGGGTAAAGTTCTGAAGGAGGGATTCAGAGTAACCGGAGAGGTGGGCTTTTTCATTGTTGCTGTGGTTGCTCTTTGGAACATGTGGTTTGTGAAGTTCTGCCAGACCTTCCTCTTGGGGCTGACACCAGCTTCACTTCATGAGCTCAGGCAATCCATTTGCTTCAGCCTCTCAAGTACTGTGATTACCAGCATGAGCCACCACACTGGGGCTGCCTTTTTTTTTTTTTTTTTTTTTTGCGTATGGGATCCTTTATTGGCTGGTGAACCAAGAAAGGTTCATACCTAAAAATTCTCAGCGCATTTCCTTGATTTTTTTTTAATGTGCTTTATTTAGAATTAAGGAAAATAATCCTTTATAATATATTTGTTACGGTTTTTCTCCAATTTGTCATCTTTGGCTTTGTTTATGTGTTTTGCCATGCAAACGTATCTCTTCTGCCATCAAACCTAGGAATCTTTTCTTTTGTGGTGTTTGGAATTTGGATAATGAGAAAGATTTCTCTCTTACCAGGTTACAGAGAAATTCTCAGGCTTTTCTCTTGGTCCTGAGAATGTCCAGCTACACACACTTCTGTGATTAATATTTTTTCTTACTAAATTAGCCAGATTAGATGGCACTAAATATTTGAATAGAAAAAGCTTTTGCTTGTGCAAGTCCTGTTGGACTGATTGATGGCTGTGTAGCTGTCACTGCCCCAATCAGCTGCAGCACTAGTTTCTGCTGGAGGCTCTATTCTGAGCAGTTAACCTGCTCTTTTCCCTCTGGGCTGGCTGCTGCGCTGTCAAGCCTCTAGGAGCAACTTTTCTGTTGAGGTAGGGATGTCTGACACAGACATATTTATCCTCCATGGGGTTGCTGTGTCTCACGAAAACGAGTATTGCTTTCCGTGTCCAGTGCTTTTGTTTATCTCCACAGTGACCAACATTAAGATCCTCTAGCAACAGGGCTGGAAAAGGATCTCTTTTAGAACCATGACTATAACATCGATATATTTAAGTTAGTGCCAACATTGTCTTAAATGCTTTGAATATATTTTCTTCATTTAAGTAACATCTCCCTTTTAAAATAATGTAGGGAGGCGCCTGTGGCTCAAAGGAGTAAGGTGCTGGCCCTGGCCAAAAACTGCAAAAAATAAATAAATAAATAAATAAATGTGATAAACCATATAAACCATAGATATGTTGACCAAGACACATCAAGGCCACATAATTACTTGTTTTTGAAGTCCATCACCATCATGAAATTAATCCAGAATAGCTGTGGGGTGTCCATAGCTCAGACAGGGGAGCTGCGGGGTGAGTAGCGGCATGTCTTGTCTTGGCTGTTGTAAGGCCATCCTTTGAGTGCCCTTTACCACGAGTCCTGTCACATTGGTTGGACAGTGCTGGCAGCATTTTCCCACCTGGTTCTGGGCAATAAACACGGTTCAGTAGGTTCTGTGTTCATTTCAATTTTGAGGGGGTCTCCATGAGGGTAACTAAAATCTCTGGCCTGGTGCAAGTGTGGTGGCATAGCCATAACAAAGTGCCACAAACGAGGTGACTAAAAATGACCAAGATCTGCACAGGAAAACTTTGAGAGGAAGGGGGAGTTACCCGAAAGCCCATCCTGGAGGGGACTGTGTAGTCCGGCTTCTGGGTGCTTTAGGCCAGGGCTGACCCTCAAACCTCATGCTTTCCCCTAGGCTGAGGAGGGCAGGGGGACCCCTCTCACCCACACTCTCACTGTGGCAGGCCTTCTGTTCCAGACAGCCAGGCTGATGCTGCAGTGTGCCGAGAGGCGCCTCCAGGAGGACAGGTCCTTGAAGCAGCAGGTGGAGCAGGTGATAGAGCAGCAGAAGGACATCAGGTTGGCTCAGATGAAGCTGGCAAAGGGCCGACGGCAGAGAGGTATGATGGGGAGCCAGGTGTCATGGAGCCCTGCCCAGGCTCAGGGCTGCTGTGGTCAGTGAGGTTTGGATCCTCCCAGGCAGCTGCACTGAGGCCAGAGGCCTGAGCAGCTCCCAGGGAGGTGTGTTCACCGGCCCCCTCAGCACGCACTGGGTCCCCAAGCTCAGGAGGTGATGGAGGAGAGCCGGGAACTGTTGCAGCGCAGCGCAGAGGCTGCCAGGGAGGAGCAGCGGCGGCGCTGTGTGCTCATCGCTCAGCTCCGTGCTGTGGAGACGCAGCCCACACGCAAAGGCAAGCTCGTGGACCTGACCCAGGTGAGGATACCACCCCAGGGACCCTCAGGGAAGCCTCTGAGCATGTTGCCATGCTGGGCATGTCCAGAATTCTCATGGATGCCAAAGGCAGGTCTTGCCCCACTGAAACCCACATGGCCACTCATTGCCAGCAGTGCACATAGCACTCCTGTGCAGGCCTGGGTCTGGCCCTGCAAATTCACAGTCCTACCAGCAAGGCAACACTGAGCAGGTCCTCTGTAAACCCTGGGGAGGGCCCTGGGAGTAGCCAAGGTAGGATCCAGGAGGCCACTTAGAAGCTGTGTACTGGGAAAGGGCAGTATAGGGGAAACATGGGTGTTCAGGGCCCAAGGCTGTGGAAGCCTCCTGGAAGCCTGTGTGAGGAGGCATGGTGACAGCTGGGCCTAGCCCCAAGGGGTGTGTGGAATCTGATGGGGTCCCAGCTGGAGACACAGCGGTTAGTTCTATCTGGGACCTCCACCATGGAGGGGCCTTCAGTGCATGCTTCAGGCGTACACAGCAAAGCGGGGCCCAGGCTAAAAAGAGGTGCCCAGGTTGAGAAGCGGAGAGGACGCCATGCAGCAGGGCAAGAGCTTCCTGGCAAAGGGACAGGCCTAGGGGGTCAGGGCGGGCACGTGTGCCCCCCAGCTTGGCCTGGCACAGCTCCAAGCTTGGAGCCCCCTCTGCTACCCACAGATCCCCGGGTATGGCCTGGAAGGTGAGATGTCTGTAGTGGAGCTGCGAGAGCGGCTGGCCCTGCTCAAAGAGACCCAGCAGCGAGAGGAAGAGGAAAAGCGCGATCAAATCATCCGGGGCAAGCGCACCCAGAGCCAGGAGCTGCAGAACACAGCGGAACAGATCTCCCTGTGCCGCGCGGCCATGGGCAGGTCTGCTGCCTTGAGGTTTGTGCTGGAGCCAGAGGCCCAGGGAAGAGGCCTCTGCCTTTGCACCTCCTAGTAGGTCTCTTTACCATGAGCTCCTTGCTCCTGCCCGGGCACTTCCCTTCCAATAACTCTGCCACCCCTATTATTTTATTAGGTGATTTTCAGGCATACAGAAATGGTGGAAAAAGTCATGTACCACTGGATTAGATGGCTGTGACCCAGATGCAGTCATTTTGCACGGAGGTCCTGGGCAGGACACTTTTTGCTATATGCACTTCCCCTAGCTAGCTAGTTATTTATCTGACTGTAGAACCATTTGAAGTTGTTGCAGGCATTAGATACTTCACTTCTAAAAGTTTCAGCATGCATCTTCTAAAAAAAAAAAAAAAAAAGGATGTCCTACATAAAACCACAGCACCATGACACAACTAGAAAATTTTACACAAATTCCCTACTTCATCTAAGCACCCTGTCCATATTCACATTTCTCTGGGCATCCAAAGGCTGCCAAAACTGTTTAAAGACTGTTTGATGTAGCTTTTTTTTGTCTTTTAAAACCAAGGTCTAGTTGGGGTTATCCACAGTGTACCATCTCTCACACACTTTTTTTGTTAGGGACACTGTGGTGACTTTGTCCAGCCTGGTCAGGTATGGGATAGTGTCGCCTGTCCCCCTTGGCCCCCATGAGGCTACGCTTTGAGCCCTGGCCTGATTCCCCAGGGGATGTGGCCCCCAGGCCTATGGTAGCAGAGCCTGGTTCAGGACTCCAGAGAAAGTGTCTAGGCTGGGGTGTGGTGGCTCATGTTTCTAATCCTAGCACTCTGGGTGGCCAAGGTGGGCGGATTGATGAAGCTCATGACCTGGAGACCAGCCTGAGCAAGAGCAAGACCCCATCTCTACTAAACATGTTTTCATTGAGGCAAGAGGATCCCTTGAGCCCAAGAGTTCAAAGCTGCTGTGAGCTATTATCTCACACACCCCCTTGCCTCACTTGATTGCTGGCACTCAACCCAGGGCAACTGAGTAAGACTCAATCTCAAAAAAAAAAGTCTGAGTAGGACTCTGGTAGAGGAGGAAGGGGTTGACAGAAGGAACGACTAACTCAGTGGTCCTTGGGAGGCAAAGGACAGCTGCTGCTGGGCTGTTCAGGGAGGGCTCCTGGCCACCCAGCAGGCCCCCAGGGCAGCACACATAAGGGAGATGCCAACACTTCCTAGCTGTGGTGCTGAGCCTGGCAGATCCCAGATGCAATCTGGTTGGTTTTGGGGTGTCTCCTCTAGAGCCTCCCTCAGCCATGCAGCCACTCTATGGTACTGATTCACAAGGAATATTTTAGGAGGTGAGTGTACAGTCTGCCATGGAGACAGGGAACAGCTCATACAAAGGCCCCATGCTGGTAAATACCCTTATACCAAAGGCAGCAGGGAATAATATGGGTAATGCAAAGGAATAATGGCCTATGGATGGAAATATCTGTGGTAGTGGTCACCTCCAGCAAGAGGCAAGGAGAGGTGTGAGATAAAAGGGGTCTTTTACACTTTTAGCCCAGTTATATAGTTGGTACACGTGATACCGTGTAATACTTTTTAAAATGATGTTAAGGAAAAAGAGCAAAATCATAGAGAAGCTGGCAGGACCCTCCCAGCCCTGCACGATGATCCTGACAGGGCTTTGTGCCTTGCACTTGCGTCATTCCAGCGAACCTCTCCGTGCACAGCCGGGTTCGGTCTCAGGACTGGCGTTCGCCGCCTATCCGCCGGCTCCTGAGCTCCCGCTCTGTCACTCTCCAGGTGGGAGAAGAAGAAAGCGCTGGCTGCGGCCTCCGGCGCACCCTCCCAGGACGAGCGCGTGCAGGAGCTGCGGCGCAGGGTGGCGGAGCGGGCGGCGGAGCGCCGCAAACAGGCGGCCCTTCTGCACGCGCACGCGCCGCGGCCCGGGCGCGCCAAGCCCCGGGTAAGCTAGCGGGTAGGAGCAGACCGGAGGCGGGGGGTCCCGGCGCGGCGGGGGTCGCAGTTTCAAGGGGTGGGCGCGGTGTCGCCGCAGGCGCAGCTGGAGGAGCGGCATTGGCTGGAACTGGAACAGAGCCGCGAGCGCAGGTTCCAGGCGCGGCAACCCGGAGGCTCCCGGCGTGGGCCCGCGCGCCACCTGGAGGCCGCCTGACCGGAGAGGGGGCGGGCGTGGTGGTGAAGGGCGCGGCCACCAGTGCACCTCCTCTTCCTCGGCCCCAGGCTCCCGCCCCGCACCCCTGCCGCATCCTCAGTTGTCCGCAGTCCCCACCTGCCCAGAGAAGGGCTGCTGGATAAAAGGCAGGACGCCTAATTACTGCCTGGACAGACTTGTGCTAAAGAAGTGTCCGTTTCTTGTCTGGAAATCAAATGTAACTGGGCGTCTGCGTTTTGATGTGCCAAATCTGACAGCCTGGCCCAGATCTTACCCCTTCCTTACCGCCCAGCGCAAGGTATTCCTGGAGACCCCCTTTCCCGCCCTGCACGTGGAACCCCACCTGCAGCACGTGGAAACCTGCAATCCCACGCTCTGCCCGGAGCGAGCGGCTTCACCTGGGAAACGCCCACGACTGAGTGTGCGATTGTGCCTGTGCGTTTGAACCAGCTGGGGACTGGCACTTCTTGGCGGGAGCCGGGATCCTTTTGGGATCCGGGACGTAGGGACTGGCCTGCTTCCTTCTGCTGAAGAGGACACAGGTGCCCAAACAGGTGACATAACCTGCCCAGAGAGCAGAAACCCAGAGTTAAGCCTGAGTGACATTGGAGCACCCTTCGCACTCCCCTTTAACCAGCATCACTGAAGGAGCCCCGTGCAGGAGTTCACCTAAGGCAGGGACTAGGATAGATTCTTCCTGCCTTGGGCTGGAGAAGGCTTTGCCTGGAGGACAAATTTGTAGAGCTTGGAGAAGAAAGCACATGTCCCAGCTTCCAGGACCTAGAGAAAACGGGAGAGTCTGGAATGGACATATGCTCAGGAGAGAGAGATCCCCACTCATATTCGCCTTGGGTCTGCAGAAGAGGTGGCACCTTGGATGGGGAAGTTAGGCTCTGGGGTACATTCAGACTAGGAAAGCCGGCATTTCTCAGTAGTTGACAAGAACGGATTAAAGGACCAGAGTCCTACTCCAATACTCTATATCAAAACCCCAGGACTATCTTACAACCTAAGATGATAAGGAGAGGAATTCCCATCTCTTCTGTTGTGTTGAATTAGCGCTGGGGGCAGATAACATTTCATTTAAATAAGTAAACAGTTATTAAATCCTGTGTGTTCGGAGATTCAAACTCATTTCATTTATTATTAAGGAAATAAGTCCATGACTGGGCCAGACAGTCCTCCTCCTAAAGGTTTCTCCTGAAGCTCTGGAGGTTTCAAAAGGGGATTTATTAATTCCCATCCAAAAGTAGGGTGGCACTCTGGGAGGCCAAAGTGGGGGGACTGCCTGAACTCAGGAGTTTGAGACCAGCCTGAGCAAAAATGAGACCCTGTCTCTACTAACAACAGAAAAATTAGAGGTGTGTTGTGGTGAGTGCCTATAGTCCCAGTTACTTGGGAGGCTGAAACAGGGGGATCATTTGAGCCCAGGAGTTTGAGATTGCTGTGAGCTAGGATGAGGCCATAGCATTCTAGCCTGGGCAACAGAGTGAGATTTTGTCTTTAAAAAAAAAAAACAAACAAAACCTAGGGTGGACTTCAAGATGTGCCTGATCCAGGAGCTATATCTCCAGGCTGGTAGCAGTTCCAGCCTTAGGAACATGGAACATCTCCCAGTCTCACTGGCCTGAATTGAACATATTGGTGCTGAGCCAGTTGCTACAGTAGGGGAAACATCCATATAGTGATCTCAAGCAATTATGGGGTAAATTACCCTCCATCTATTAGGCTAGCCTCTGGAGCAGAGTGGAGATGTGGCCAACAAAATGATGGTGCTATTGACAACAATCTTTGTCATCAGCCAATAAGGTCCCTTCCTCTGTCCCACAGTCCTGGTCTGAGAAGCTGCTTAGAACTAGCTTGAGAGCACCTCCGGGCTCTCATCCACACAAACCTGGGTGGGAGCAGGCAAAGGGCTATTCCCTGAAGTTGTGACCTCAGGGAAGGCATTGTGTGGTAGATTGATGGCAAAATGTCATCCTGTATCCATACCCCTTGTGACTTTACACTCCCATCAAGAGGGCCCTGAATCTTGTCTGACTTAGCGACTTTCTTTGACCAACAGGGTCAAAGAAGTGGCCATGTGCTGGTTCTGAGTCCGGATCTCAAGTGACCTCTGTGAACATAACCAGGGTGGCCTGGTGGGATGAGACACCATATGCAGGAAAGCCCGTTGCCCCAGAGGCCATCCTAGACCTCCTTACAACCAGCAGACTCCAAAATGTGAGGACATCAAGAAGCAGAACCCTCTTTCACCCCTGCTGCCTTGTAGATTCATGACCAGACTGGTCCTGGCAGTTCCTTTCCTGACCCCCTCTGCCCTCAGGATAGGTCAAATTTGTAACTCTGGTCTTTTGTGCTCCTGGCACGAGGGGCAGTCTCTTCCCCATTTTCCCTCCCCAGGTTCTGGACTTGGCTAAGCTCCAAGGTTGCTTCCTCAGGGAGACCTCCCAGACATGCTGGTTGAAAGGACAAGCTGTGCTTTCCTTAGGTCCCCATCATCAGGCCCCAGAGAAGAGTCCCAGGACCAGGCATTCGTAGGGTCGGACGACACACTTGGCCTAGGCCCCGGCCCGAGGCGGAGCTGAAAGGCGCTGGGCCTGGTTTGCAGCCGGTTGTCAGACACCCTGGGTCCTGGGCACGCTCTTCCCAAAGGCTTCTTTCACAGGCGGGGAAACGCCATCCCAAAGAGGGGCGCGGAATGGCTGGCTGCGTCTGGCCCGGGGCAGAGCAGCTGATGTGCCTCAGGGGCGGGTCGTCACCTATAAACGGGGGACCATACGCGGGCTGGCCCCCGCAGCACCCTAGCTGTTAGGTGCCGCCGCGCGCCAGGCACCATGGCTGTGCTCAGACCACAACTCCCGAGAGGCTCTGCGGGAAGAGCGTGCCGGCAGCTCCTCTCGCGGGAAGCCGGGAGGGCCAACGCCCCACCGTGGGCGGGGCCGGAAAGAGGCGCGTTTCAAAGTGGGAATAGATGGTTTTCTTGTCCAATAGGATTGAAAATATGCCTCCCTAACAGACGGACCGCTGAAGTAGGGGCAGCGGGGGCCAATGGGGACACGCAGGGGGCGGTGCCACGGACCCCGGAGCGGAAGTGGGTTGCTGTTGAGGCGGCGGCGTCTTGCTTGAGGCGTTCTACACGATTTGGAAAGGTGCTTCCTCTTTGAAGAGCTTTGGCGGCGGCGGCGGCGGCGGCGGACCAGGCCGGCTCTGGGTAAGGCCAGGCTTCTCAGAAAGGGTACGGCAGGTTGGGGCCCGGGCTGATGCGGGACTTAGGCCGCTTTGCGGCCTGCAGAGGCCTTTGGCGCCCTCCGCACGGGGAACCGTCTTGCGCGGCTCAACCGGGCTGAGGCCCCGTAGCGCGGCGGGGCCTCGCTGGGACCTCTGGCCAGCTCTGCCTGGTCCGCACCGCCGTCCACGCGGGTGTACCAAGCCCAGCTTGGCGTGGGCAACGGAAATTGGGAAGTGTCTTGGTTTTGGCTCACCCAGGCGAGTTGCGGCTGCAAGACATAGTGGGTAACCTGCGAAGGGAAACTGAGGCTCGGGGAGGGGCTGGAACGCGCCCAAGGTCACTCGGACAGTCAGCGCTCGGGTTCGGGGTAAGACGGGGCAAGGTTTTTGTTCTCTGCTGACGCCGCCGCCTCCTTTGTGTGTTCGCGCGGCCGCCCGACCGTCGTGAGGCCTGCGAGTTTGCCAGGCGCCGGGGCCGCGTGGCGGAGCTTTTTCTCGGCTGAGATGGGCCTGAGAAGGGATGAAGGCCTAACTTTGGGAGCACTGAGCTGCAGATCTAGAACTTTGTAGGGCCTCCGCTTCCGGGTGTGCTTCCCGGCCTGGTCGTGGGTGAAATTGTGGCCGAGAGGCCTGCTGCCCAGCCCTCCACCTCTGGGTCCCTTCATCTTCCTATCGCCCACGCTGATAGGTGTACAAAGATTGGATTCTCTAGACACCAAACACAGTACCTATTGAACACCATTTTTTCATCTCTTGATTGATCGAGAGAGGAGGGGGAAGATGGAGCTCGGGCAAGCTGTTTTTGTTTGTAACTGTTTCTGTTTTATACTTGTTGGTTTCCACGGATGTTCACGGTCTTAATCTCTGTTGGGCTTCTGTACCAAGTTCTAGGGAGTCATTCAGCTATAGATCCTTGAATGAAGCTTAGGCTGTGCAACTGGTTGCAGGGACGGGCCCAGAAAGGTCAAGTGGTCTACTCAAGGTCACACAGACAACTAGTAGGTGGATCGAGTCTAGTTCCTGACTGCAGGAGCTGACCTCTAAGTTCAGTGACTGGAGTTCTGGGGGTACTAACAATGAAAGATAGAGCTGTTGAAGGGAATCTTTTGTTGTTTTTCCTGGTAATTTGCTTTTTTGTTTTTTTTTTTTAACTTATTTCAGAATAATACGAGGGTACATAGGATTAGGTTACGTGTAAGGTAAAGTCCCAGTTGTAGTTTTCTTAACCCAGGAAACGTGCCACATATGGTGCATTGTTTGCCTTTGGGTGGGAACTTGGCTAATGCTCTCCTCCCTTCTTGAATTTAATTTTTTCTCTCCAGTGAGCGCTGGTTGTTAATTCATTGATTTCAACTTAGTATTTAATGGTTGCAATGCTTGTTTTAACATTCCTGTGCTACTTAGGAGAGCATTCTCCAAATCCATCCAGGTTATTATTACAAAGTCTCCATCTTGGCTCAGTGCCTGTGGCTCAAATGGCCAAGGTGCCAGCCACATACACCTGAGCTGGCGGGTTTGAATCTAGCCTGGGCCCGCCAAACAACAATTACGGCTGCAACCAAAAAATAGCCAGGCGTTGTGGTGGGCGCCTGTCATCCCAGCTACTTGGAAGGCAGAGGCAGGAGACTGGCTTGAGCCCAGGAGTTGGAGGTTGTTGTGAGCTGTGATGCCATGGCACTCTACCCAGGGCAACAACAGCTTGAGGCTCTGTCTCAAAAACAAAACAAAACAAAATCTCCATCTTTTCATGGCTGAATATTGTTACATGGTGGTGATTTGCTTTGTAATGGATAGGGAGACATTGGGTTCAGTTTTACCTATGAGTTCAAGGTGAAATAGGAACAATCAAGTGGGAAAGATATATTACTGAATTTTGTATTACCTGAACTTGAACCTCCAACTCTGATTCAAAAATCTTATTTTAATACAGTGTTTATGAACCTTTTTATTTTTTGTCCCCCCCCCCCAGAGTCACGCTTTGTTACCCTAGGTAGAGTGCTATAGCGCCATAGTTAACAGCAACCTCAAACTCCTGGGCTCAAGTGATCCTCCTGCCTCAGCCTCCCAAGTAGATGGATGGGACTACAGGTGCCTGCCACAATGCCCGGCTATATCAGCTTTTCTTAAAGTACCACTTTTGTGAGGAGCTTTTTAGACGTTGTTTTCCTGGTCATTCCTTTTCGTGATTTTTTTTTTTTTTTTTTTTGCAGTTTTTGGCCGAGGCTGGGTTTGAACCCACTACCTCCAGCATATGGGGCCAGCACCCTACTCCTTTGAGCCACAGGCACCGCCTCTTTCATGAAATTTTAATGCCATGTGTAAACTTTCTACCTTTTTACAATGTGTGTGTATCCATGCATCGTATAGAAAATGAATATGATTTTTTGCCCTCTTTAACAATGCAGATGGCTCGGCGCCTGTGGCTCAAGTGGCTAAGGTGCCAGCCGCATACACCTAAGGTGGCAGGTTCGAATCCAGCCTGGGTCTGCCAAACAACAATGATAGCTGCAACCAAAAAAAATAACCAGGCGTTGTGGTGGGCCCCTGTGATCCCAGCTACTTTGAGGCGAAGGCAGGAGACTCGCTTGAGCCCAGGAGTTGGAGGTTGCTGTGAGCTGTGATGCCATGGCACTCTACTCAGGGGGACAGCTTGAGGCTCTGTCTTAAAAAAAAAAACAATTCAGACGTTGGGTGGCACCTGTGGCTCGGTGAGTAGGGCACCGGCCCCATATACTGAGGCTAGTGGGTTTAAACCCATCCCTGGCCAAACTGCAACAAAAAATAGCTGGGCATTGTGGTGGGTGCCTGTAGTCCCAGCTACTCAGGAGGCTGAGGCAAGAAAATCGCCTAAACCCAGGAGTTGTAGGTTGCTGTGAGCTGTTCGACGCCATTGCACTCTACCGAGGGTAATAAAGTGAGACTCTTGTCTCTACAAAAAAAAAAAAAAAAAAAAAACAACAGTGCAGATGTTGCAGTATTCTTTGTTGGCTGTCTGACTCCATGTTATTCTCACTACATGTGTTTTCACTGTTTGTTGTGGGGTGCCATGAACTATGCCCACACAATACGGCAGTATTCTAAGTTGGTCAGTGGATGTCAAACTTTCTTCTTGGGATTTAGCAATGAACAAAATAGTTTTTTTATTCTATTTTATTTTTTTAGAGACAGAGTCTTACTTTGTCACCCTGGGTAGAGTGCCAGTGGCATCATAGCTCGCAGCAACCTCCTCCTTTTGGGCCTAGGCGAGTCTCTTGCCTCAGCCTCCGAGGCAGCTGAGACTACAGGGGCCTGCCACAGTGCCCGGCTATTTTTTTGCTGCCTTTTGGCCAGGGCCAGGTTTGAACCCACCACCCTCAGTATATGGGGCCAGAGCCCCACTCACTAAGCCACAGGCGCCTCCCACAAAATAGTTTTTGTAGCCAGGTGGTGTGGGTCACAATCTGTAATCCTAGCATTCTGGAATGCTGAAGTGGGAGATCTCTTGAGCTCAGGAGTTTGAGACCAGCCTGAGGGAGAGTGAGACCCCATTTTTACTAAAAATAGAAAAATTAGCCTGGTGCAGTGGTTTCTTTAGTCCCAGCTACTTGGGAGGGTCACTTGTGCCAGGAGTTTGAGGTTGTACTGAACTGTGATCACACCACTGCATTGTAGCTGGGGTGGCAGCAAGACTCTTTCTCAAAAAGTTGTGGTGTTTGTCTTCTGGAGGTGAGTAAGGGTGAAGGAAATGAGAAATAATCCCTGCAATCAGAACACAGGAATACTTCATTTGTTAATTGCACTTTACAGACATTGTGGGTTTTTTTTTTTAAAAACAAGTTGAAGGTTTGTGGTAGGTGCCATTTTCTAACAGCATGTGCTTACTGTGTCTCTGTCACATTTTGGTGGTTCACAGTATTTCAGACTTTTTCATTATTTTTATGCCTGTTTTGACTTGTAATCAGTAATCTTTGATATTACTATTATTACTGGACGAAGAGGGTCCAGCCGCCTCTCACTGTCAGCCAATATGCAGAGATGGGGATAGGTCCACCAAACCTTATTTGTCAGAAGACGGGGATTCAGAACAGTGAGAGAAGCCTCTCCAGAACTGTTCTATTCTTCCATTTCCAAAATTACAGTATTATACATAAAAGTTCAAAGCAAAAATCACATTAACCCTTATTTTAAAGAATAATCAGCATAACTCAGTGATCTTTTGCACCATTCCAATTCAAAAGTTAATCTCCTAAATCAATCCCCCTAAACTATTCCAGATAGGCATCTTTAGGGTGGAAGCCAAATTTACAAAATAGTAAGAACAGAGATGGGGGCAAGGTCAGGCAGGACCTAAATTGACCAGAGCAGCTGTGTCATGTCTGCCCTAGCCTGCCTGACTCCATGTTATTCTTACTAAATGTGCTTTCACTGTTTTGTTATGGGGTGCCACGAACTATGCCCACTTAAGATGGCAAACTTAATCCATATATGTGTATTCTGACTGCTCCACTGGATAAATGGGTATTCTGACTTCTTCAGACTTTCCTATTCTTCTCAGGCTTTTCTATGTCCTGAACCACAACAATATTTAATTTAGGCCATTTAATAATCCTACAATTACCTCTAAGTGTTCAAATTCATGTCTTTAAATCAAAAGTAAAAGTGATTATGCTTAGTGAGGAAGATCTGTCCGAAGTTGAGATAGGCCAAAAGGGAGGCGTCTTATGCTATTTAGCCAAGTTGTGAATGCAAAGGAAAAGTTCTTGAAGAAAATTAAAAGTGTTTTTCTAGGGAACATATCATTAGTTGAAAGAGAAATAGCCTTATTATTGACCAATCAAACCAGCCAGGACATTAGCCAAAGCCTAATCCAGAGCAAGGCCCTAATTCTCTTTAATTCTTTGAAGGCTGAGTGAAGAAATTGCAGGAGACAAGTTTGAAGTTAGCAGAGGTCGGTTCCTGAGGTTTGAGGAAAGAAGCTGTTTTTATAACAAACGTGCAAGGTGA